CCAAAAGGTCAAATGTGGGTGTAAGACAGATATCTAATCCAAAGAAAACATCCTATGTTATTACGTCAAGATTTATTAGCCAATGCCAATATTATATCGAACACTGACTCAAGTTTTATTAGATCAAGTACAAAAATGACGGCATCTACTGGATATCTATCAAAAATTATATTAATCTGGCGAGGGAGAGTTTCAGGTCGCTTGTACGTTGGTTGTATAAAAATAAACGTTTGTCCGCTGCGAGCAGTCAAAAACGGACCGCGACATTTACATCGGGTGCATTTTCTATTTGCGAAGCAACAGACGGCGCGTTTGTCAAATCTGCGCTCCAGTCACACATAAATGTCAGTAAATTATTCCAAAAAAATGTCCGTGACGTAAAAGAGATTAGGTAAAATAACAATATTTTTTCCTTTAACTATTATGAATATAATATGCTTGGAAACGCAATTACATAAGTAGATATACAAAATGTGGGGTCAAACATTTTTCTAGGCAAGCGCGCTTCAACCTAGACCTCATCAGTGCTTCCCAGCGCTGATTGTAGTCAAGCGCAAGCCTATCTTACAATAAAAAAACAGATGATTCAATTGTGTTTTAATCTACACCATTTTACATAGATTAGACTTTAGACAGTGTAAAGACTAAATTATTTTTTTACATAATAACATATTTTGTTAACTATACTTTTAAATAGCTTATTATGGGTTATTTCATGCACAGTTTTTTTCCTTACAATTATATTACTTACAGGCCTTAAGAGAGTACTCTCATGCTGCATGTTTTATAGACACTGAATTTCCCTTTAGAATATTATAACATTTCAAGTAGATGATTTACATCGTGGTTATCTTATTATTAAAATATTTTTAAGAAAATAATTAAAAAAAAGCTTATATATTACTAGCGTGTTACAATTTTACAGAATTACTCCGCTCTCGTAGTGTAATGCATCTGCATTACATAAGGCTATCTAGCCTCCCTAATAAATAGGCTATAAAACATTAAAATATTTTTTTCAAATCCTACGAGTAGATCTATCGAGTAGCCGGTTCAACAAACAAACTCTTTAGCTTTATATATTAGTATAGTTAACTATACATATATGTACATATTATATACATCCTACAATCAATATCTTACTTCATTTTTTTTATTTTAAATATATTTTTTTGATAAGTTTTACAAAATGAAAATGATTACTAAAAAATATTTTTAATTATGATAGCAGTAAGTAGAATTATATCTAATATATTTAAACGAGCAATTCTTGTATATATATCAATATATAATCTGAATCTCGGAAACGGCTCCAACGATTTTCATGTAATTTAGTATACTGGGGGTATCGGGGGCGATAAATCGATCTAGATTAGTCTTATGTCTTAGAAAACGCGTGTTTTCGAGTTTTCATGCAGTTTTCTTTTGCGTTATTCCACACAAAATATGGTCGGTAGTTGCACACTCGGGTATAAGCATCGTGTTCAAGCGGCCAAGGTGCAAGATCAACAATCACAGGTGTCCAGATTCGAATCTCGGTCGCATACAAAGTGTTTACTTTTATTTTTTTAATATTTATTCGAGTATATAGTTTTTTTTTTAAAAGACGCAAGATTGACAATCATAGGGATTCGAATCCCGGTCGGATACAAAGGTATAATTTATTTTTGTTTTTTTTTGTATTTCCTCAAGTTTTTAGTTTTTTTAAAAGAAAATTGTACTTTTTAACCAAAAACTCCGAGCTAAGCTCGGTGGCCCAGGTACTGAATACTAAATTAAATAAGTACCTAATATTATCTCTTAAAGATAAAATGAAAATATACGTTAATTTATAAAGTTACTGTTTCAGTTTTAAGTATCTACATATATAAATTTCACTTAACTTTTGCTGACCTCAGCCACTACTAATTTTATAACTTTGAAATTATAATGTATTTGTATTATTATTCATATTAAATAATGTTTTTGGTGTTTCATAATGTTCTATATCTATATAGATAAATAAAATTGAAGTGTCTGTTTGTAATGTCAAAATAACAGCTTTTTACTAAATGTATATGGAATTATATACGGTATTTATAAGAAAAACACAATTTTTAAAAATTTTGTCTGTCTGTCTGTTTGTTCCGGCTAATCTCCGAAACGGCTTGGGCGATTTTGACAGGACTTTCACTGGCAGGCAGTTGATGCTATAAGTTGTAACCTAGGCTACTTTTATTTCAATAAAATAATTAGGGTTACGTTCAAAAAAACTAAAATGTACTTAGGGACGAATCCGAGCAAAGCGAGGTTAAGTCGCTAGTTTTTGTCTAAAATATTTATCACAATTTTGCATCAATATTAATTATTACTCGATATTCTACAATATTAAGCTGTATCTACTCTACAAAACCAACATAATACACAGTAAAAAGTAAATAATATTATAAAGAAAAATATTTAATTATTACCAATTTTTATGACGTTAACTAACACACCTATATAATAAGTAATACATAAAATAATGTATGTGTTATCGTAAATGATAAAATAATTTATACAAAAATAAGTGAGTATAATTTTTTATATACATACATACAGACATGGAGTCTCATTTGTCACTCAACTCGTTCAACTTTGTTGTTTCACATGATTAAAGTTTAAATTCAACGAATGCATAATCCATACTAATATTATAAATGTGAAAGTGTGTTTGTTTGTTTGTTTGTTTGTTTGTTTGTTTGTTTGTTTGTTTGTTTGTTTGTTTGTTTGTTTGTTTGTTTGTTTGTTTGTTTGTTTGTTTGTTTGTTTGTCCTTCTTTCACGACGAAACGGAATGACGGATTGACGTGATTTTTTGTGTGGAGATAGTTGGAGGGCTGGAGAGTATCTAATTCCAACGGGAAAATACGCTATAATACAATCCAAAAAAATATTTATGATCAGAATTACTTGAAACTTGATATTAATGCATTTATTGAAGACAATAAAATTAAATAAATACCTGTTTCAGCATTTTTCGAAATTCACCCTATAAAGAGGTAAAATAGGGGATGAAAGTTTGTATTAAAGTACCTTTTTAAAGACTTTTTTGTAGTTTTAGCGCGAGTGAAGCCGCGGGTTCTGCTAGTTACATATAAACAAAAGAAATAAAAAACTTTACATAGAGTGAAGCAAATAGAGCTAATCTTTGAATGCACTACGAAGATCTCTATACATATTATATTTTTTGCATATGACTAAATTATATTTGTTTTAGAATTGAAGAAGATTTATAAATATGTAAAATATTTTTAACCATTCCGATTTTAGTGACGGACACTGTCGTAAACATTTACAACCGGATGTTTCTATTAATACAGTTGAAGGTTGATTTCATTGGCAATCAAAATGTTTAGGTCTTTTGCACTTGACACATGACACTAATTAAAAAACTATATGAAAAAGAAACAAAACTTTTTTTAAGGATATACAAAATACAGTAAAGAACGGATTGTATTTGGTACATACTCGTAGTATCGACGCGCCCGCACTTCGCACAAGTATGTTCCATAGCTTAAAGCTTAATTTAATATTGTTACGTGCCATTTTAAGTTTTTATTTTATAAAATAAATATTCATTTACATAATATGATGCTAAGAGCAATTTCGATCTACATTAAATACCTGGGGTAAGTAACGAGATATTATTTAACGTGATAAGAAAAAGGCTACTCATCAAAATACCTTTGCAAATTACCTTATACATTAATAATGAATATGGTTACCTACGAAAAAGATATGCCAACATTCAACATATTTTATACACATTTATTTTCATGCATAAATAAATAAGGCTTTGCTACGTTAAAGTGCTCGAAAATCGTAAAAAAATATTAACATTATAAAATACTAGCGACTTACCTTCGCTTCGTTAGTTTGAGACCCTGGGAAGGACATAGGAAAATTTTAAGCCCGGAAATCATTCCTTAAGGGGATGAAAAGGGGAATGGAACTTTGTCTGGGGAATCAATCATTTCTCAAGTAAGCGATATTAAACTCATATATCTTAATCTTAATATATATTCCTTGTGTACGTATTTTTGTTAACCTACTCCTCATAAAGGGCTAGACCGATTTGGATGAAATTTGGTGTGTATATTTCAATTGGCTCCTGGATGGTTTGAAAACACAATTAAACCCGGTATGTGGCGCTGCAGTCGGTGTGCCACTGATCATCTCCTGACAGCAGGGACAATTTTAATGATATTTTTTGTGTATGTTCGTTCAAGTGGGTCCCTGCAAGGTTCGAAAACACAAATGGACCCAGTAGGTGGCGCTGCAGTCGCTGTGTCACTGATAATCTCCTAAATGGCAGAAACGATTTTAGTTATATTTTTTGTGTATGTTCGAGTACCTGCAAGGTTTGAATTCACAAATGGATCCGGTAGGTGGCACTGTATTTGGTGTCACAAAATTTTCATAAGACTCCAAGTTTTCCGAGCAATAAATAAGTTTAAATTGTTGTGTAAATAAAATAAAAATCGATGTGTGTATAGTATGTATCCTATGGGCTCCAAAACAGCTGGAGCGGTTTTGATGAAATTTTCAGGTAATCTTCAGATTAGCCCAGCGGGTGATCCTGTGAATTTTGTTAGCGATCGGAAGTTTTGACGCGGGCGAAGCCGCGGGTACCGCTAATATATATACTACTACTAGCGACTCACCATCGCTAGTAATATCATAAATAAAGAGGACTAAGTATATAATATAAAAGCATTCCAATTTATATAACTATCGATGAAATAGTTTTCGTAAAAGAAGAAATACGCATAAAATTATTACTTATCCAAAGAAGAAGCTTTTCCATTTCATTTTCCGAAATGTGAAGTAAAAAATATTGAGCTTACATATACGAGTACATGTATAAGAACACTGGCACTGTAAATAAGCGATCTATTGAATATAAAAGTATTATCCTTTAGTTCGCAAAGGTTAAAGATCAATTGCAATGGTTTCCTGTTGTTGCAGAATTGAACAGAAATGGCCGCGGGCGACGTCACCCGCCGCGCCTCTATCACCGCACCCTCCATGCACCGTCGACCCTCTGCTAGACGAGGGTCGCTTATCAAAAATCCCCAATCAACGTCACAAGTAATAATTTATTTCATAAAATATACTTTATGTTCTCTTTACTATTACAATAGAAAATATTTTATCCAATTAAATGCTTTTTAAACATTTTTATTTTAAGAAGAATTACCAATTTGAAACATCATTCATATTGCTATTTCTCATTTCCGGCGTGACTTCATCAGTCTTCTTTATCTATTTATGCAAACTCTGACGTAACAGGTTTATCTTGATACTAAGAATTGAGAATATAAAATTTTAGTTAGTTTATTTATAGAAGTTTTGATATGCTAACTTTGTTTGTATTGTTCTTTATACGATCAATCTAAGAATATCATAGTTTTATCATTTAGTTTCTATATTAAGATTAGATATAAATTACTTCCTTTATCACTAAACAATGAATCAAATTTTAAAATGAAATAAAATGTACGAAAATTTTGGTTGAAATATAATGCCGAACATTGAACAAGATTTAGAAGTTTAGGCATCTGATCCCGATAATATATCCCATATAGTAAGTAGTAAGGTAACAAGTTCTAAGATTTATCATTTTTATTTTTTGACAGGTAAAATTATTATTTAGTAATATGAAGGAACTATAAAAGTTGTAAATAAAATTATAAGTTTATTTACAAGCAAAAACACGCTTTTAATAATAACTTGTTGAGTAAGTAAATAAATATGTATACAGGCTTAGAATTCTAGGTTTATTCTATAGATATGAATAGTTATTGCGAGTTTTAGAAGAAAGACTTATTATATTGCAGATTTTTCTGTAGGCCTTATTAAGACATACAATTTTCTAATATATTGTTTTGATGTATCTTTTAAGGTTTAGCAAGCGTTAGACATGTAATTTTCTAAAAACGACTTGATAGAACCAATTATCGTATTTTCCCGTGGAAATTAAAGATTTTTCTGCAGTAAAAGGTATCCTAAATGTTGGTCCGAGAAATAAGTTATCACTACACAAAATTTAGTTAAAATCGACCGAGTTGATTTTGCTAAGTTACTTTTTTATTAAGTGTACACATATCAATTGTAGATGTAATTAATAATATGATACCTCCGAGCTGATCTAGATTTGTGTTTGTGATATTGTCGATTTGTATGTCAGTCTGGCCGGTTTCATCTTTAGAACGGCTAAATCGGTTTATAATAATATTTTAATAGGACTCTAAAACTTGAGAAAGAGCGACAGTACAGTAAAGTCTTCTGGAATAAAAGAGTTGTCTAATAACTTTTTATCCCAGAAGACTTATAAAACATCTAATGTTTCATAATAAACCCTAGAGGGCTGTGAATGGATGAGTGGGAATAATGAATTAATTTAATTTGTTCGAAGAATAATATAATCTCCAAATAAGTATAATGTTTTGTGAACCAAGAAAATATTTTATAAAGATACATTAAAAGCAAATAGTAAGTTTTATTATTATATTCGCAGGAGGTGCCATGGGATATAATAGACCGTTGTGCGCTTCCAATCGTGCTGTGCCACGCGCTAGCTGTAGTTCTTTCAGCAATACTCAACGCTCTACATATTAGCCAAGTTTCGGTGTTCACACTCTTCCTCTGGTTCTCAATTTCTGTCACTGGATCACTTTGGTTCTACCACAACCTTCAGGTGAGTAAGATAAAATCCTATTTATATATTTTTTATGAATATCACGGCTAGATTATGTATGAGGTTAGCAAAACAATTTTAGTTGCAAATATTATATAGACTAATGAGAAGCTTCCTTATACAAGGAAAGATTCTAAGAAACTGGAAAACAAAGAAAACTTTATGCTTCAGAAATAATAATCATTTTAATTTTATGTCTTAATATGTAAAAAGATGCTAATTTAGCAAGTACAAGGTTGGATGAAAATTTGAAATTACAAACAAATGTTCGTTAACCTAGACGAACTTATACTTTACCAGTTCCTCTGTTGGTATGGGAAAAAAGTATTAGGTTCGCCCACATCCGCAATCACGAACGCCCACACAAAAGTTTCTTTTAAACTAAGATAGATTTCATTTCATCAAAATTAATATATTTCGGTTTACACTCGGTAATAATATATTTAAACTTTATGAAGATATCTCTACTATCAAGTTTAAAAATTGCTAATTATGTATAGCCATTTTATAATGCTCATTTCAATCCTGAAAAGACATTGTATCAAGTATAAAATAGAGCTGTCCTAGAATTTATATTTAGAATTTGTTAATGAACATTTTTCCATTCAATGAAAAAGCTTTGACAAAAGACTCTATACAGGGTGGAACAAATCGACGGGACATGGAAGATAAGTACCTTAAATATTGAAGTTATCAAGATAGGAAGGAAACATTCCTTTATTTTTAAAAATAATAATAATTGCATTTAATTATTCTTAAAAAAAGTTTACCTGAACCGGGAATCGAACCAAATTAAAATACAAAATAAGATACCGTCACTATTTTATCAAATTAATCGATAGGGTTTATGGGAAGGATAAAATCTCTCAAACAAACGTTAGAATTGAAGAAAACGATGAAATCTTGAAAATTATAACTATCGACTCTAACATCGTGGAACAAACGCACGGGACATGGAAGAAAAGTGTCTTAAACACTGAAAATGTTAAGTTTCACTCAAAGGAAACATTTTTTTTAAATTGGATTAATATTTGCATTAAATTTTATTTTTAAAACCGGTTATTGAACCAAATGAAAAATCAAAAAAGTACACCGTCACTATGTTATCGAATTAATGAATAGGGTCTATGGTAAGGATGAAATGTCTCGAACGAAAATTGTATGTTACAATAAATGAAAACTGAAATCTTACAACTAGCATATAACAATCCTAACTCACATCACATGCTAAGCTATTTATTATCCATGAAGTATTTATGTATTCAGCCCTTTTCATCCAACTTCTTCAAAAAGGAGGTTCTCAATTCGGCTGTATTTTTTTTCAACCGACTTCTTCGAGAAGGAGGAGGTTATCAATTCAGCTGTATTTTTTGTTTAAGGTTTGTTACCTCAGAACTTCGTCATTTATTAACCGATTTGGACAATTTTTGTTTTATTGGAAAGTATACTTCCCATTTGGTTCCATTTAAATTTGAAAAAAATACCACCCCTAAGAGTGGAGAAATTGCTAATGAAAATTTTATCTACTTCTAATAGTAGATACTTTCAGCCAATGCAAAATAAATCTAATATATTTCGATACGTAAAATACATATTTACCTATTAGATATTCAAATCTTAAAATATGTATTGTCTTCTGGCACCCACTTCGAAAATGTCTGATTAGGTATCTCTTCTAAATGAAAACCCCAGCCGTTTAGTTATTTTTTACATTTTAGTGTCAAGAAGTCGGTTTTGATTATTTTTTTTTTAGTTTTTATTTTTCCATTTTTAGTGTAGACGCAGGTAAATTGGAAGAAGAAAATTTTTAATAACATATTCCATTAAACAATTTACTTAAAAAAAAAATTTATTATTGATTGTTTAAAAAACCGCTTGACCGATTTTGATAAAATTTATATGGGGCCACCTGGGAAGTATACCCTTTGAAACAAAAAAAAATTCCAAATCGGTTCAGGCGTCTTCGAGTAATCATGGTCATTGATATGGTCACATAATAAAAAAAAAAGATTTCGACGAATTGAGAACATCCTCTTTTTGGAAGTCGGTTAAAATAAACTTAATAAAGATTTAATACACCTCTTACGCAAACCTAATACCTTTAATATTAATAAATTACTATTATTTGTATGCGCTACCTGTTGACAGGTTTGAAGTCAGAGATCAGGTTGAGTAGCTTTTTAAGAAAAATTAAATGCAGTTATTTTTATTTTTGAAAAATAAAGATATTTTTCCTGTGAGTAAATCTTGATAACTTCAATATTTAAGGTACTTTTCTTCCATGTCCCATCGATTTGTTCCACTCTCTATAATTGAACAATTTGAAATATTATTTGAAACTTTAAGTCATTTCAGACTAACGGTATAATTTTAGTTATGGTATACGTGTCGGGTATTAATTACTGTGGTAGTTAATTTGGCAAAAGGTATTTACATGGGTTTATCACGCCTCGTAAGGCCGCGTCTTAGATCTAAGTATTGCTATGTTCTACTAATATCGAAACCCTTTGTTACCTGAGAACTATAAAGTAATTAAGTAACCTACCTCGTTTCTTGTAACATAATAAGGATAGTAAATAATGAAATGTATGTATTCAGTACATTTATTTTAAATAAGTTTACTAGTTATAGTTCTACTAAGTTTACAGTCAGTCACGATATGTACACTGATACTTAGATTAAAGTGACCATAACTACATATCTATACTAATATTATAAAGAGGGAAAGTTTGTGAGTTTGTGAGACTGTGAGTTTGTGACATTTTAGGGGGTGATATTTGGATCTACTAAACGTATTTAGATGAAATTTGGTAAGAAGATAGTTTGAGACCCTAGGAAGATAAGACATAGGATACTTTTTATCACGGAAATTATCCCTTAGGGGGGTGAAAATAGGGATGAAAGTTTGTATTGAGAAGCAAGCTAGGGACGAACCCGAACGAAGCGATGTTGAGTCGCTAGTAGTATATATATATATTATATTTACTAGCGAGTCACCCTCGCTTCGCTCGGTTAAGGGGTCATTTTATCTAAATCGGCTTAGTAGATCCATAGATTACCCCCTACACGTCATAAACTCACAAACTTTACCTCTTTATAATATTACGAGCAGTATAGATTATCTTAGTGTCACAGTGGGAAATTAAATATAGCAATATTATTTATTTAATTTAGTCATTATTACTATAAATATTACAATTTAAAAAAACTTTATTAATTACTATTATTATTTAGTGTTGCTATTATTATATTATGTGCCAGCATTGCCCGCGGCTCCGTCCACTTTCAGATGACCAAAAACCAAATTCTTAGGTTTTACAAATTAGTATATATACTACTCGTACATTGCAGTTTTTGATTTTTTTTCTCGGAAGTGAGATATTTTCCCGCGGTAAAAAGTATCCTTTATTTATTTTATATATAGTTGACCCGGATAACCAGCTATCACCATACCAAATTTCATCAAAATCCCTCCAGTGGTTTTTCTGTGATGCGGTAACAGACATACAGACAGACAGAAATTCTAAAAACTACAGATTCGGCATCTATTTCAATAATATTTTCCAAAAAATATTTAATGTACAGATTCGGATTGGTTACTATTTTATTATATGTACTAGCAGAACCCCGCGGCTTCGCTCGCGCTAAAACAAAAAATAATCTAAAAAGGTAGTTCCATACAAATTTCATACTCTATTTTATCCTCTTACGGGATGAATTTCGAAAAATGCTAAAACAGGTAGGTATTTAATTTTATTGAAGAGCATTAATACCAAGTTTCAAGTAATTCTCATGAAAAATATTTTTTTGGATTGTATTATAAAGTGTTTTCCCTTTGGGAATTAGCTAAACTCCCGCCGTAAAAAGTAGCCTATGTCACTCTTCACTTCTCCACCTATCTCCACACAAAAAATCACGCCAATCCGTCACTCCGATTCTACGTAAAAGAAGGACAAACAAACAAACACACTTTCCCAATTATAATATTAGTATTGATTTATTATTATAATATTATATTATAACATAAAAATCTAATTCTTAACGTTAATGAGACATAAATATATCTACCCTTTTATACATGTATTTTTTTATATCTTTAGGTAAAATTCCACGTAGGCGATTTCCAATAAATGATTAAAACTTAAGAGACACAGACATTAAGGTTGTTTACTTACGATGTATATTGACGATTTTGCTTCTAAGAAAGTCTAATTATTTAATCCAATTAACGTAACTGAAAATGAACAAAAAAAACAAATAAAAAATAATTAACAATTGCTAATGATCTTTTAATAAGATACCTGTTGTATATTCTTGTTGTCAAGTTAAATTATGTACCGAAGAAAACTAAATAAACCATCGATATCCATGGGAATAAATTTATACAAAGTGCACCGGCTCGAGGAGGTGCTGTTACCTATAAAATAAAAGACTTTTCTTATTGATATTAGGTTAATTTTATAAATGACTAGCGGCTCACCCTCGCTTCGCTCGGGTTCACCTCTAGAAAAGCACAAACAGATCTATCCCACGAGAACTGTTCATTTTTCCGGGATGAAAAGTAACCTGTTATTTTACCGGCAACATAAGGTATCAGCATGCCAAATTTTACTAAATTAGATGCATAAGTTGTTGTGTACTAAGCTGTATAAGTTACTATAGTTCTTTAACTATTCCACGGGAACTCTTTAAGTTGTCGGAATGAAAAGTATCTTACATGTGAAAAGTATCTTCCGGGGATATAAGGTACCACTATGCAAAATTTTATTTAAATCGGTTCAATAGTTTCGGAGATTAGCCCGTACAAACAGACAGAGAAACAAAAAAATTAAAAAAAAAACTGGATTTGTTCTATTACTCTTCTTTCGTGATGTAAGAAGAGAACTGAGTCGGTTTTTAGCTTTTTTTTTCTAACCTCTACAGTTTTATTATAAGTACAGATAGAATAAATAACGTATAATAAAACAGTAATATATAATAATGAAAATAGTTATAGCGAG